GAAGACGGAAAAGTGAGAGATGAGAGAGAGAGGTAGACGAAAGTGGAGAGGAATGTAAGACGTAGGAAGAGAAAAGAGAGTGCGAGTGAGGTCCAAAGGGGAGGAGAATGAGAAAAGAGCAGATAGAAAGGGAAGAGAGAATGAGAGGGCAGAGATAAGAGGGGAAAAGTAAGAGATGAGAAAGAGACGAGAGAACGAGCAAGAGGTGAGAATAGAAAGAGAGTGAGTGGTGAAAGAGAGAGAGAGAGAGAGAGAGAGAGAGACAGACAGACAGACAGACAGACAGTAAGAGACGAGAGAATGAAGAGGAGTTGATAAGGGGAAAGTGAGAGATGAGAGTGGTAGATAGTAAGGAACGAGAGAATGAGGAGGACGTGGGAAGCGGGGGAATGAGAGATTTTAAAGAGACAGATATTAAGTAAAGAGAGAGAGAGAGAAAAAGAAGGAACGTGAGAGAGAGAGAGAGAGAGAGAGGGGGGGAGGTGAAAAGTGGAGGTGAAAAGCGAGAGATGAGAAAGAGACAGATATCAAGTAAAGACAGAATGAAAGGTAACAGAAATTGAGCGATTAGAAAGATCGAGCTTCCCTTTGTAATGCATTCGTTAGAAGGAAGTTGTATTCAGACAATTTCTTTACAAGAACGGCCACTTTGTGAAACAGACTCCTGAGAGGATGCTTCCCCGACCGCTATAATTTTAACGTCTTCAAGTCTAGGGTCAATCGTTATATTTCTTACCGATTTTCATAATCTGCACTTTTTTTCTCCTCATCTTACAACAACCTCATTCAGTTACACTCTACCTTGAGTGACTCTTAGGCCCTGTATTGGGTGAACAATTATTTAAAAATATCGATAGAGGGAGAGCTATGAACAAAATGAGATTAATAGTAGGGAATAAAATCGTTAAGTAAATATATGGGTAAAGCTATGGGTAAATAGGAGAAGGAAATTCTGAATTCAAAAACGGCCGTCAGGTGATCTTGCCCAAGAAACACCACTTCTACTGCGGCTGCGTTGAAGAGTCACGGGATTCGTGATCCTGATCACTATTTGCCCATAGCTGGCACCTTAACAGGTGCTACCTCACGGGTCAGGTTTGATCTGGGAACAACAGGTGAATATACACTCCTAAAACTCTCCATTCTCCCAATCAGAGGCCTTGTTTGCTGGATGTAGTTTATCGTACCCAAGACTAGAAGACGTTGAGTGGAATTTGCTTTTTATCAAAAGAACACAAGAGAATGGGATGGTTTGCCACTGTGAACAGGGCATGGTGTGCCCTAGGAACTATAAAGTAAGGGATACTTACACTCAGAAAAAAACAATTAATTTTTGGGACACATTTTTTTAAAGCATTTCACCCCTAGCAAGGCGGGCACGCAAGGGGTTACAGAGGATTTGGAGCGAGAGCAGATAGGAATGATAGAGGAGAGGATGGGGAGAAGGATAGTGGATAGATCAAGGCAACTGGAGATGTCGATTGACATTACATTTGAATAGTTATTTCCTAAGCGTAGCTTAGATGTGGCACAAGGCCGAAAGTATGGGGCACCTAGTGAGGATCGAAGTTACTTTTTAGTTGTAACTGATCTAGCGAGACAAGCTTGCTAACCATTACACCACACCGAGGTGCCCAATTGATTTTCTAAGCGTAGCTTAGATGTGGCACATGGCCGAAAGTATGGGGCACCCAGTGAGGATCGAACTCACTGTTCAGATGTAGCAGTTTTAGCAAGACCAAATTGCTAACCATTACACCACGACGAGGAGTACAGACATTACATTTGAATAGTTGGGGATTAAAGCTATCAGGGAAACAGGAGTAGGAAGGGAGTTCCACAGGCGAGAGGTGCGAGATATGAAGCTATTGGAGTAGAAAAGGCGGCTACATTAAACAGTTTCAACAGTGAAAGGGTGAGAGCGGGATGCCAGCCTCGTAGGACGCTTGAATTCACGAAGTCTTGGAACCAACAAAAGCAGCTCATCGGAGCAATTACCATGAAAGTATTTGTAAAAAAGACAGAGAGAGAGAGGCGACGGCGCGTCTGTGAGAGAACGACTGTAGACGAGAAGCCAGATCAGGGCCAATTATATTGCATATCCGTCTCTGGATCTTATCAAGAACCCCGAGGCAAACAGAAGATGCTCCAGATCATATATGGCAGCAATACTCCATGCAAGGGCGAATGGTTGATTTGTAGATTTGAAGGATCGCTTCCGGGGAGAAAAATTTCCTGGCGCGGCACAGGGAGCCAACTTTCCTTGCGGTGGACGAAGCTATTGACTCAATGCATTTGTTCCATCTCAGGTCAGTAGACAACGTGAAGCCGAGCAGTCGCAGAGAGGCACTCTCGGGAAGTTGAACGTCAGACATTCTAATGGGGGGCAGGGAAGGATCTCTGTGTTGATTAATAGAGAGCAGTTTTGTTTTGGTGACGTTAAAGCTAACCAGCCAATTACGGCCCCAGTTCACAACCGATTGGAGGGTCATTTTCTAGACGAACGGCCAGGTTAGTTTTGTCAACGTCACTAGATTTGTTTTTGAGGCAGGAGTAAATTGTAATGTCGTCCGCGTAGATGCCCACCTGGGAAGCAATGTGAAAAGAAGGTTTAGAGAGTTTAACGCTCACAAGGAGGCGAGTAACCTGCTTAATGAATTTGATTGAATGGATGCCAAACATGCCTCGTGATTTACTTAGAGCAACAAAAGACAGGAAGCTGTGGAGATACGTTAGCGCCCACATCATGAAGGAATATATCATACGAAATAAGGGGCATCTCGATGTGGTGTAATGGTTAGCAAGCTTGGCTCGCTAGAACAATTACGACAGAGTAGTGAGTTCGATCCTCACTGGGTACCCCCTAATTTTGGCCTTGTGCCACATCTAAGCTACACTTGGAAAATCACTATCATATGAAATAAGAATGTCTGCTAATCAAGCTAAAAATCTGTGTTTGTTAGTGTTGTGTGCTTTACCAGATGTGCTGGCAAATATCGTTTTAAAGGTAGTATAGCGAATACGCTATTCCTAGTAATCATTGTTTGTACCCCTTACCCTTCCTAGATTTTCAAAGCTTCTGCATTCTTTTGCTTGAAGACAGTAATTTTGTTTCCGTTTGACAAACAGCAGATGTTAATTATATATCACAGAGAAGTCATTACTGGTATGAATAAATGGTAGTAAATATTGATTTTACTAAAAGTAAAATTTTACGCAGCTCGAAAATAAACGTTTTTGGTTTCATGTAGAATTGGAATTGACTTGCCACTGGACAAATAGTGGAATATCGTCTTTGGTAACTTTTTTAAGCGAGTCAACAGAAACAGCTCAATATGCAAATTACAAATTGGAGATATCAAAATACCAAAAATTTAAATATTTAGGAAATGTTTTAACAGGGGATGGAAAATGCGAGAGTCAAATCAGAAGGAAAGTTTGGATAGCGAAAGAATTTCAAAAAGTTAATCAGTAGAAAGAAACAGGAATATTTCATTGGAAACAAAGAAATCAGTAGTGGACTGTTATGTAATATCGCTACTCCTATATGGCAGTGAAAGCAAAAGCATCTGATCACAGATGGAGAATAGTTTTGATTCTTTTCTCTATATATACATATATAATATCGGCGTTTCACGTTTCCTTTTTCTTTTCTTTTTTCTTTTCTCTTTTTCATTTCCTATTTCCTTCTCTTTTCTTTTTCTGTTACATTCTCTTTTTCCCCGCCCTGATTCTTTCTTTTTTTCTTTTCCTGTTTCCTTATATTTTTTCCTTTCTTTTTTTCTTTTCCTTTTTCTTTCCTTTTTTATATTCTATTTTTATTCTTTTGTATACCATTTCATCACAGATGAAGAAGAGACTTGAATTCTCGAGCTGTCGGTCATTTTGTGATGTCAACGAACACCCGTTGCCACTTTTGTAATGTCAGCGAATACTCGTTGTCACTTTCGTAATGCTCGTTGTAGTAGAGACTTTGTAATCGCAGATACAAGTACAGTAACGCAGTTGAACAATACAAGTGTCAGGCGCCTTCGAATAGCACTCGTACTAATAGTAATTACTTGATAATATTCGTTCGAAAAGTAATCACCTATAGTGATCCGAATAGGGAAATAGTACAGAGAATAACGGTCCGTATAATAACAGGGGACATAATAGGAATGCTATCCGTATAGCAATAGAGGATAGACTAGAATTAGAGATCCTTTATACGTCACACGACTTCCTATATACACGTTTCCTCTATGGTCACGCGATCCATTTAATTCAATAATGGGATCTCTTGTACACTATTTACATTATTCGGACGATTGTCCTCATCTTTGTCGCCATATTTATTACAACGTTTCGGCCGTTGTACGCTCCGGCTTTCTTCAGGTGAAAATATATATATCATATCCTGAGCCGACCAAACATAGAAATGAATACAATATGGGAACCAGTAATAAGGAGTACCAGAAAAAAGCGATAATAACAAAACAAAAATTGCAATATGAGCTCCGTTAAAAACGTGATATTATAACAGCAAAAAATTGTAATACGAGCACTGGTAAAAAATGGTTGCTGAAGTTTTAGGTTTTTAATACCCAGAAATTCATACACAGATGGCACAATGGATAAAGGCTTTAGTTAGATCCACTGACAGGACCAAAAGAGTGTGAGTTCAATACACGATTAAGGCAGTGGAGAACTTTGAGATGGGAATTAATAGGAGGTAACTAACATGCATTAAAAAACAGCACGTGGAACTAGAACAGTCTACCCCAGTAAGCGAAATAAAGGGTTCAGTTCGACATTCCAACCACCTGAAGAAGGTCGGAGCATTGTAATAAATATGGCGACAAAGATGAGGACAATAGTCCGAATAATGTAAATAATGTACATAATACCTCATCTCAGAAATATAGACAAATACTGAAGGATCTCCTGTGTTTGCTCACTGGCGATCTATGTTCAAACCCAAGTGTCGGCATTGACACTTTATTTCTCTATAACAGATCATGGTGTCATTTTCTTGTCATGGATTAGTCGAACAAATATTGAAAAATATTCTGTTAAATATCGTTCGTTTATTTCTAACTCTTGCTCTTTTCCTTTCTCTCTCTCTCTCTCTCTCTCTCTCTCTCTCTCTCTCTGTCTCTCAACTCTTTTTATCTTTTCTACTCATTATTATTATTATTATTATTATTTTTATTTTCTTTGATTTCTGGCGTTTACACATTTCTTTCCGGGTCCCGCCCAGGGACCTAAGGTTAGAAATGGCGTCATGACACTTTCCACTGACAAAAAAAAAAAAAAAAAAAAGAAGATTACATAGATAAAGACCTTCGTAAGGTGTGGGCTGTACTTGTCAGAACAATTTTCTGTATCTCCTTGAGGCATGGACTTCCAGGAATCCCTTCAATTAGTCTACTGGAATCTTTTCAACCAGTCCTAGGGCTCCAACTACAACAGGGATTGTTGATGTTCCCAGATGCCATGTTTTTCACGATTTCTATTTCAAGGTCCTTGTACTTTGACAACTTTTTGAATATCTTCAAAGATACATTGCAGTCGGCAGGGACAGCCATATCAATAAGGAGGCACCGATTTTGTTTGTGGTCTTTAATAACAATATCTGGCCGGTTGGCCTTGATTGTTCTGTCAGTGTATTGTGTAGTCCCATAGAATTGTAACAGGTCCCTATCTCCGTAACCGGGTCTGGGTGGTGTTCATACCAGTTTCTTTCAGTTTTCTTCCGTAGAAGTTGCAGATTTTCCAGTGCAGATATTGGCCCACTCTGTCATGTCGGGTTTTATATTCAGTGAGTGCCAACACCGTACAACCTGCTACAAGATGATCAATCGTTTCTGGATATTTATCACAGAATCTGCATTTTGGGCTGACACAATATTTTAGTATATGTTTCTTGATAATTCCTCGTTAGCAAGCATTGGTCCTGCGCAGCAAGGATAAAACCATCAGTTTCCGCTTTCAACCCTGCACTACGTAGCCACTGATGGGTAATGGGTTTTGTCTACGTCAGCTATTATTATTATTATTATTATTATTATTATTATTATTATTATTATTCATCATGGACACACTACCTCAAGTTGACGGAAAGACCTAAGGCAGGTCGTGGTTTTGATCCCATTTCATAATCCTTTTTTTTTTTTTTTATCTCCGATTGTTGCTAGCTTCTACATAGACAAAGTTCTCTTTGTGTGCTGTTTTTAATAAGACAATTTTCTGTATGTCTCTTAATTGGGGTTTCCAGGATTCTTTCAATGTGTTGTTTTGTTCCATTTTTATAATTCCAAGTGCACCTATTACCACTGGTATTATTCTCTTTTCAATTTCCACATTTTTTTCTATTTCAATTTCCAGGTCTTTTTTTTGATAGTTTTTCAAATTCTTGGTTGCTTTATGTTACAATCCGCTGGACAAGCCATATCAATTAGTTCTCAAGTTTTTTCTTTCTGGTTTTAATAATGTCCGGCCTATTTGCTTTCTTTTTTTTTGTCTGTGTGGATGGTATAATCCCATAGAATGGTGACATCTTCTATTTCTGTAACCGGCGCTGGCCGATGTTCATACCAGTGTTTGCTCTCACATTTTCCAAAGTGTTTGCACATTGTCCAGTGTAAGTATTGCCCCTTTCTATCGTGACGATTTTTATATTCATTTTAGGGGCAAGTATAGAACATCCTGAGATTAGATGGTCTATTGTTTCTTTGGTACAGAACCTGCATTTTGGATCCCACATTATTATGTATGATATTTGCCTGAAAAATTCCAGTTCTTTCTTTCTGGTCTTGCCTGCAAAAGAATAAAACCTTCAGTTTCGACTTTAATCCTTAGCTCGTAACCATCGATGAGTATTTCTTTATCAACATTTCTTTTATTTTCACGTTCTGGATCTTTGCAGAGGTTTGTCTTTTCGTTGTTTCATCTGTTCAAGGCTTTATCCTTGGCTTTTTCATATCTTTTGCAAATATTATTATTATTATTATTATTATTATTTTATTATTCTCTTTCTTTTTTCCTGCTCGTTTGATTTCCTTTCATTTTTTTCGACCTTGTCCTCCTCATTTCTTACTTCTTTATCACGCTCTCACTTGACCTCCTTCCCTCTCGCTTCGCTTTCCCCTCTCTCACTTCACTTACCTATCTCTTCCTCTATCTCTTTTTATCCTCTCATCTACTTTTCCTCATTATTTTTCTAATTGTTCTCTTTTACATTCCCTTCTTTTCACCTCACCCCCCCTTAACTCTTATTGGTTCTCCTTATCAATCTCCCATTTTGCCCTATCTCTCACACATCTGTTTTCTCCCTCTCAGTTCTCTTATTCTCCTTTCGTCTCATTTTCTTACTGTTTCTTTCTCTTGCCTGTTTATATTCTTCAGATTCCCTTCCTTTCCTCATCGCTCAAATTCTTAGCGCCCACTCCTACATATCTTTCTTTCTTTCTTTCTTTCTTTCTTTCTTTCTTTCTTTCTTTCTTTCTTAGCCTCCTT